TCTGGTCTGTCGTTGGACATTCAATATTTTATTTTATTATTTATTATTATTATTATTATTATTTTATTTTATTTTATTCTATATTTTTATTTCTACATTGTATGTCCTTTCTTGCTTCTCATAGAAGTGTTGTGCACCAAACACCAAGGCAAAGTCCTTTTAAGTGAAAAACCTACTTGGCAATAGGTTTTTATTATTCTTTTGCTTATTATTTTGCTGTTAGTGTTTGTTAGTTTGTGTTTGTTTGCAGGTTCTCTCTCAGGTTTTTCCCTCGGTGACTACAGAACATTTTTCTACAGATACAGCAGCTTAATGGATGCTTTTGTTGTCTCTCTGTCCTTTTTTTTCTCTCCTCTCTTCCTGTTTTAGGAATCTCTTTCTTTTTTCCCCTTTCCTGTCCCCCGGTCATGGTTGGCATTAGCCATATTACTGATGTAACAAACTGTACAACGCCTCACTGGGGGCATACTGTACTTAATCAGTATTTTTTGTATTTTTATTTATTTATTTGTATTTTTTTGCTAAATTTTTTGCTTAATTTTGCTTAATTTGCTTAATTTAATTCAACGCCTCACTGGGGGCCTACTGTACTTAATCTGTATTTTTTGTATTTTTATTTATTTATTTGTATTTTTTTGCTAAATTTTTTGCTTAATTTAGCTTAATTTGCTTAATTTAATTCTAACTTGATACTTTTTGCCCTTTAAGCTGCTGGTAACCTTAATTTCCTGAGGGAGTCTTCCCAAGGGATCAATAAAGTACTGTCTGAGTCTAAGTCTAAGTCTAAGTCTAAAAATAAATCCTAAATAAATAATAAAGCAGTATGGGATGATCAGGGGAGGGTTCTCACCCTGACAGGCCTCCCCTATTAAAGCAAAAGTGTCTGAAACTCAGATTACAATTCTGTTGCTATAATACCAAACACGACAAGGGGGAAAAAAAATAAATAATAATAAAATAAAAAAATAAAATAAAAAAATAAACCTTACTCTGATTCTGATTCTGGTTCTGATCCTGATTTAATCCACATTTCTCCCGTCTTTCATCTTTCATCAGATTACAATTCTGTTGCCATAATGCCAAACACGACAAGGGGAAAATAAATAAATAAAAAAATTAAAAAATAAACCTTATTCTGATCCTGGTTCTGATTCTGATTTAATCCACATTTCTCCCGTCTTTCATCTTCTGATTCTGATTTAATCCACATTTCTCCCGTCTTTCATCTTCTGATTCTGATTTAATCCACATTTCTTTCATATTCTGATTCTGATTTAATCCACATTTCTTTCATCTTCTGAGAGCATC